TTACCAGTCTCTGCATTATTCTTGCTCTGCTGGCAGCTCCACTATGAAAATGGCACACAGTAGAAGCAACTGCACATCTAATCACCTTGGCACCATGATGCTTGTGTTTTGGGCAGCGTGCCCACACCAGTCCGTTGATGCATTCATTGCGATTTTGGGTGGCGCCACGCACACACCTTTGGAGCAGCTTAGTTTCACTAAGTGTGATGAATGTTGGCTTCAGCAGTTCAAAGAACACTTCAGGCAAACAGTCACCTGCTTCATAAGTATTTGTTCCAGTAGCACAATCTTGTTGCCATTTACACCAGGAATCCTCACCAACAGGGCAGAAGCGATGTTGTTTAGCAGCATCTTGTGACTGGACACTGTGATGGAGGATGGCAATGATATTTTTCTTCATGGTGTAAACAACAACATCAACCTCTCTTTCTGTTAGGTTTGCTTTAGTTAGGGTGTTTTGTCTAATGGCTAGACCATAGTACTTCTGAAGGCGTTTAATGCGGCTCTCAGTCAGTCGGCCCCGTCCTCCAATGGGTTTGCCATCTGCAAGTTTACCTTTGGTTCTTGCTTTAAGATTAAGTAGGTGCTTGCCCATGCGTTTTTGCACGTGCCCAACACAATCCAGTTTTTCCACCTTGCAGTCATCGCCATATATATTCTCCACAGTATTGAATGCCTTACTGTCTCCGTCAGAAACCATCCATTTATACCTTATTTTATGCAGTTCCACAGATCTACTCCAAACAACTATGGCACCCTCAGCTTCCATTGCAGGTGAGCTTCCATTAAAATTAATGTCACACTCATTGGAAGCAAGATGCTCAATCTGCCATGCTTCGAACTCCTCGTCAGTTTGACACTGAGACCTTTTCATGGTACATTTCCGGCATTCTTTTGAAAGGACATGATAGTCAAGAACCTCTCCAGTGTCTACAGATATAACAAAAACAACTCCAGTCAGAGAGGTAAACCCCCTTTTCGCCCATGTACCATCAAACGAAACGGCTGCATCGACTACATCATCATTGACTTCATCTCCACTTTCCTTCAGGATGTACTCGCGAACTCTTATCCCTGCCTGTGTCATTTCATCTTTGGCTTCAGCTTCTAAAGCCTCAAGTATTGTGTCTACTTGTCTGTAATAAGCAGGTAGTGATAGACATGGCATGTTCATGATGCTGCAAAAGGTTACTAGCCCTTCATAGCCACCTCCTGTCTCCAGAGAATGATAGACTGCACGACGATTTACGTCAAAAGATTGCCCTTTCTTTGTTATTGTATCTGATGTTTTCAATGGTGTAGCTTCAAGGCA